CCTGACATGGACCCAGGAGTGTGGCTCCAACCACTCCCAGGCAGTCAGATAAACAGGCAAAAGATCAGAGTAGAAAGGCCCCAGCTCTGACAGACTACACTTCAGTGACCCAAGCTGCTTATTAGTTATTTTTGACCACCTCTCTTTTAAAAAGAGAGGCTCCCTCTCAGCTCCCAAGTGCAATGAAAATACAGGGGTGTGGGGGAATGGGGTGGGTGCAGGTTCATAAAAATCAAGAGATCCTTCCAGCTGAAATTCTGTGATTCCAGACCCACAGCATAATTCGCTTCTGACCCGAGTGCCTATAAACGAGGGGCAGAATCCCTAAATTATCCAAATTATTTGGGTCAAACTAATTTAGACTGTTTGCAGTGAGAAAAAGGGTTAATTTAGTTCTAGATTTCCTGGATTAGCCCTGGTGTTAATTTCACAGGGGGCAGTTTAGCAGAGTTTTCTAAACTGGAAAATAAAGCCTATTACTGTGGCAGTCAAGGTCTCCCAGACTGCGTGAGAAGTCTCTCAAGGTGGTGGACACATCCCATTCCTCAGTCCCAAAGAGACTGGGAGAGGAAGCGCAAAATGGAGGTAGAGCCCTGGGCAAAGAACCAAGTTCACAGGTATCAAATGGTAGGGAGCTCAGGGCATCAGAGAAGCAGAGGTGGGGCCCAGGAAAGGAATGGCATATTTAGTTAAGGGACTGACTGGCAGCAACAGCCAGGAAGTATACTCAGGTGAGCCCACAGCGGCAACAGGTATGGTGGGGGCACCTGGAGAAGAGAGTTTCCAGTATGTCAAAAGTCAAGGCTTTAAAGAGGAAAAAACGGCAGGGAGAGACTAGTAGCGGTGAATAAGGGAAAGCTGGGTAGACGTAGCTTGCTGTGGCTGTGGCGTGCAGGTGTAGAAGCAGGCGGGGGTGGTGGGCTTTTCGCCCTGGGGAGGAGGACGTCGCGGGTAAAGATGGTTCCAGGGAGTGCGGGGGCTGTCACTCAACTGCGAGGAGGGGTGCCGCAGGGTGGGAAGCTTGTCCTTGCGCCGAGAGGAGGAGGCACCGCGGGGTAGGGGCTTGTCACGATCCTAGGGAGGGGGCCGTCGCGGGGCATCCCTGCTCTGGGAGGATTCCAGTGGGGTCCCCTTCTCACGGGAAGCTCCGGGCGGGTCAGGTGGAGGGCACCGCTCAGCGCCCGTCCTGCAACCTCGCCCGGGGCGCCCCCGCCCCGCCGTCAGCTCCCTCCCGGATCTGAAGGCTGAGGCCACTCCCGGGTATGGACTGCTTTCCGCGTAGCGCAATGCAGGGAAGAGCAAAGCTGGGCAGCCAGGCAGGCGTCTTCCTTCACCCCGTACGGCTAGATCCCTAACTCACCTGGTGTCCGCAGGCCCCTGCTCAGCCAGCCTGGCCACTCTCCGGATCCCAAGATGTCCGCCCGCCCCCTGCTCGCCTGCCTGCTGCCTCGGCTTTCACTGCAGTGCCGCGGCCCCGCCCCGGCCTCTGCTGCGCGTGCGCATTCGCCGAGGCCGCAGACTACAAATCCCGTCAGGCCTCTCGGCCTGCCCGCTTACAATTACAAGCCCCCTAAGTTTGGCAAAACTACAACTACCGAGGCCTTTGAGAACCTTCGAAGGAGGGGGTAGGCGTGCCTTGGGGGAGGGGTAGGAGTGGCCTTATTCAGCCCTACCCGAAATACACAATCCAGAACACGCTGCTACACTCCTCACTTCATTTTCCCCATTGAGCATTCTGGGAATTGTAGTTTCTGCAATCCCTCCTGTTCCTATTTCAGGGTTTCCGAGAGCCTCAGAGGATTAGTGCTGGCTGTTGAGGCCCGGCTGTTAAGCCTTGAATTGCTGTAGGCCTTTTCAGTCTCCAGAGTCCGAGGACTGGTTGTCCTCACTTTATACACACACACACACACACGACTTGGCAGTAGAAGAGTTTGTACTGAGTTTACTGCCTTATAACACCACCTCTGATTTTCCCAAGCTTTTTTGCATGATATATTTGTTCTAGACATGAGCCTTTTCCCAGGGATCAAGACCCAAGGTAGGGGACAGGGTGTGAGGCGGCAAATATTTGGAAGAAACTAGCTAAAGCTTTTCAAAAATATGTCTGTGTTCTACCTCAGCTATACCTATGTGACTGTGAGCTCCTCAAGGCCAGGAGGACCTGTGCGCCTTCTAGTGACAGGCATATATATATTGCTTAAAAAACCGTTGGCAAGTTGAATTTAATTGGACATGGGATTTGAAATCCCTTCTCTGATGGACAGTTAATCTTCACATCCAAGCTGAGAAGAAGAGACAGAGCCAATCCTGGCACATGAAAGGCCTTCCTGGCTCTTGCAGGACCTGAAGAACATCTGTTGGCTCTTCTCTTTCTGTAGGAAAAGATACCCTGCTGCCTTCCCTAGACAGGGCTGAGCCCATCGTGAGAGGAACAAAGGGCACCAAATGGTAAACCTAGTCTCAAACCTTACTGTTCCTAGCATCCTCCTGCTAAAAGCCAGAATATGGCAGGATGATCTGACTTCCTACAAATCGGGGTCACAGCTTTAAGCCATTAAATGACTGAATACAGGCACTTCTAATTCTTGAATCAGCACTCAAGGTTTACTTCTACCTTTCCAAAAGCTTCGTCCTCAGTACATATCCTAAACCCCTACCAATTTAGAATAAATAATAATAGTAATAATAACAATAGCTACCATTTATTGAGCACCTATTCTATTGTGTGCCAGGCACTGTGCTAGGCACTTTTCGTACAATATCTAACTTAAATCCTCACAACAACCCTGTGAGGTAGGTATTATTATCATCATTTTACATATGAGGAAACTGAGGCTCAGAGAGACTGAATAACTCTCTTATCACGCAACCAAAAAGTAGTAGAGCTGGGATTCAAACCCAGAATAACCTGACTCCAAATCCCATGCTCCTGTGAACTAGAGTAGAGGCAGAGGGGAGGGGAAGGGCCAAATTCAAGAAAGATTGTTGGAGTGGAATGGATATGATATACTGACTAGTAAAATATGGGAAGGAATTTAAGCCCATAAATGTTTCTAGCTGGAGAGCCTATGAAGAGTGTGATGAAGGTAAACAGGACTGGAATTCAGAATGAACACACTTCGGGGTGGGGGGAAGGAAATGAGTTGAGTCCACGTGGACACATCCATGGACAGGTCCAGTGGGTGATAAAAATATAGATCTAAAGATAAAGGGAAGTTAGGGCTGGAGATACATATTTGGGAATCACCAGCATATTAATGGCAATTGAGGATGTCAGGATGGATGATACCGTTTCGGGAGTAAATACAGAGGAAAGAGAAGTGGAACAGAGATAAAATACAGGGACCCTGAAGGCATGAGCAATAGTGGAGGAATCCTCAAGAGAGTCAGAGACGGAAGAATCAGAGGAGGAAGAGAAGTACAGGAGGCAGCCCTATAGTGGTGGCTAGAGGAAACCATGTTCTGGGTTGGGAGCAAACCTAGAGCTCCCAGAAGAAAGGCAAGACTGAGTCACACTTCTAATAGCCCTCATGCACCCCAAATCCCAGGGAATATTTGTTAAATGAATGAATGCCAAAATACCCCTACCCTGGATTGCTCCAAGACCTGGAGCTTAGGACTTCATCTTACGCTTGACATCCCAGATCTAAAAATATGGAAGCCTAGGTGAGCCAGAATTTATAGAAGAGGCTCACAGAGAAAGTTGTGATTTGCTTAAATGGGAGAATAAGGTAAAAACTAAAACTTGGCACTGTCTGGAAGTCCCAGAAGTCTCCCTGCCTAACCTTGCTCTGGGTTATCATGGTGATGGTGAAAACACAGGAGGGTGTGTGGGGCGCGGGGCAGGGTGAGAACAGCCTGTCAGTTGCCCGGGGGGTCCTGCGCTGAGCCCAACCGGAGACCCAGATTATGGGCTTTAACCAGATAGAAATATTATGGGGACATGTGTGGGAGGTTTGAGGGCTATGAAGAAAGGGAGAGAGAAATCAGGGGACCAGCCCCATGACCTAGGAGCGGACTGGGAGAGAGGGTCCAGCCCTCTGGTCAGGGACCAGCCCTGAGGCTTAAGTGAACTTGCATAGGCACGTGTGTGTTGGGGCAGGGGGTGGGGGAGGTGTGTGTGAGAAAGAGGGAGAGAGGGAAAGAGAGAGAGAGAGTCTCTCACACATGGGCAAGAGGCTGGGTGCTCCTCAGAAGCCTAGTGACTCGACGGGTTAAAGTGTGGGTATGGGGGCTGAAATATCCTTGGGAAGCCCTGAGAGGCTGCTGAAGCAGGGCTCCTGGTCTCCTCGGAGGCTGGGCCTCCCCTCGCTGGGGGCTCACAGAAAGTCAAACAGCCCGAAATTCTTGGCTGCTCCAGGCCCAGGAAAAATTGGGGGAGGAAAAAAGAAAAGAAATGTTTCAGGCCCCGAGGTGAGATGAGCCTGCTGGTTAGTAGGGTTAGGGTCTGAAGGAACCAGCACACCGGGCAGGCATGGGGCAGCGGTGGGGCTGGGTATTGAGCACAGATGCTCCCTGGAATCCACTAGCAGCTCAGGCAACTGAGGGGGCCCGCTGGGCTTCTGCTAAGGTTGAGCACAGGTGGAGTTAGTCTGGATGGTTACTGGAGGTGACTACAGCTCTAGGGTGCGGGGCTGAGGCAGTAGCAAGGGCAGTTAGGAGGAGGGGCAGAGGAAGCAAGTCTTTTTTTTTTTTTTTTTTGGTATCTGTATTAAGGGGAAAAGCCAAGAAATCGGTGCGCATGCTTGAGGGGATGGGTTAATAGAGGGATGATGCAGCTGAATGAATGGTGAAAAAGAACTGAGGGAGGGAAAGTGGGGATGAGGGGTATGCAGGCCCTCAAGGGCACCACTGGGTCAGCTCCTGAAGTGTGTGTGGTGGTGATGGAGGGTGGTAAGGAGCAGCATCAGCAGTTCGGGTCCCAGGGACACGAAGGATCCCGGGAAGTCCTGTGCAGCGGTTAGTGGGCAGAGAAACAAGCTGGGGCTGGTGGCAGGTTAGGGGCTGCAGTGGCGATCAGGTGCACCCTGCCCTCGCTGCACCCAGCGAGCGGTTAGCGGGCCTGGATTTAGTTCCATTTATTTCCCTTTCAGGTACCAAAGTAAAAAAGATGGACGGAGAGAGGGACGCGGCCTGCCCGGGGCGGGGTGGGATGGAAGTGGGGAAGGGGCCCTGCTCACATCACATCCACAAAGAACTCACTGGGGTTTCCCATGGCCATGCGGAAGGACTGTCTGCTGGCGGTCAGTTCAGGGGGCACGGAGGCCAGGTCACGGCCCGGAGGGGCTCCCGGGGGCCCCATGGCCGCAGGCGGTGGGGGCATCATCAGCATGGGGGGGCCGTAGAGAGGGGGCACCCCGGGGGGGCCGTAGCTCGGGTGCGTGTGATGGCTGCGCAGGCTGCTGGCCAGCGAGTGGTGGCTGCGGTGGCTGTGCTCGCTGGCGGCAGGACCCGAGCGCTCGCTGGGCGCCCGCTCCCGCGCCCCCCGCAGGCTGCTGCGGGTCGTGTGGTCCGACTCGCTGCCGCTGCCGCCCGACTTCGAGTCCCCGGTCTTCGGGTCCTTCTCCTTCCGCCGGTCCCTGCCGCTACGGTTGGAGCCACTGCTCCGGCTGCCTGCAGGGGACAGGCAGGGACGGGGTGGGGGACACTCAGAGCTTGCAGAGGAAGCCTGGGGCTCGCCTGGGGCTCCCTCCACGACCCCCGCCGCCTTACCTTCACTGTGCTGACTGCTGGCGCTGCCCCCGCCATAGCTGTACCCCAGCTCGGGGAAGCCTGGGTGCGGGTTGTAGGGGTGCGGGGGCGGCGGGTATTGGTAAGGGAAAGCCATGGGCCAAGGGGCAGCCCCTGGGTGCGGCAGAGGGGCCAGCGTGTCCTGGTCGGAGGCGCCGCTGGAGCCATCATGATCGTGGAGGGAGAGGTTGGCCATGTCTGTGGAGGGGAGGGGAGGGCATCTGAGCTGGGTCTATCCCATGCCTTCGCACCCGCAGTCAGCAGAGAGATGCCCAGCCTCGGCCCGGTGGGTGCATTTGGGAAGACAGTGACAGCAGTGGCAGTGTCCCACCAGAACGGGAGGAAGGACAGGCCAGAGATCTCTCACTCCTTCAGACCCGCTCTGTCACCCTCCAGAGGTGGTGGGGAGGGAGATCCTGCAGAGCCATCCCCCGAGAAAACCGTCCCCAGGAAGGCCCTGAGTCACCACTTCAGATGCTCAGTGCCAAATCCCAGTTTCTCCTCCTTCCTCAGTGGGCTGGAGGAAGGGGCAAAACTCTTGCTTGTCAATCGCCCCCCCCACTCTGTTCCCTTACGGGAAGGGTAGGGTGGGGAATATGGGAGGCCGAAATACCAGACAGCCGCCAGCTCCTGCATACCTGCCCTTCCTCAGGTACAGTACAAGCACTTCATCTCACGCAAACGTTACCACCCCAGGAGGAAGGTATTAGTCACACTTTTTCCAGATGAGGAAAGTGAAGTCTAGAGAGGTTAAATGACCAGCCTGAGGTCAACCCAAACTGCAGCCAGAGCAGAAGCTAAGAGTTGCTTACTTTCTCTTTACCTTTCCAGATGAGGGCATTAGTAAGGAGGAGGGAACAGTTTGGGGAGATTTAGGTGAAATTTTGCCCTCCTCACTCACTTAGGACTAAAAAAAACACCCATTAAAAGCCAGAATGAACACAGGGCCTTTCAGAGCCTCTCCACACAGAAGGCCCTTGGCCCAGATCAATTTTCTGGTGCTTCTGGGGAGGGTGGGAGTGGGGTGGAAGAAACAGAACAACTTAGATGCCTCCTCTGTGCCCTCCACCCCATTCCCAGCCAGGCCTAGTTCTTCACAGCACTTGAGTCACTGCACTAACATTACTTCTTTCATGACTCTGACTCCCCAGTAAACTGTGCACAGGCAAGGTTGCTCCCACCAATGTTGGAACTATCTGGAAGGGAGTATAAGAGGCCACTAGACCTGCCTGCCTGGGACACCCCTTGTTCACTGGTCCCTGGTTCTCTGGGACCACCCGTACCAGGTCCCAGAGCTCTGAGAGAGCTGCAATTGCCCAGGAGCCAGCTGCTGGATACAGACTGAGCCCTTTGTTACAAGCCCTTAAGAGAGCTGAGCCAACCTTACAGGGGAGAAGAGGTCAGGAGAGGGGGCTGGGGCAGCCTACGGTGTCTACCAGCCAAACCATCAACGAGTCAAGGCCGGCAGCTAGCATGAGAGGTGGTGGTGGTGGGAAGCAAGGGCGTGCCCCGGTGACCACTTCAGCTGCCAGGCTGTCATCCCATGGGGAGTGACTGTGTGCTCCGGGGGTTACCCAGGTCCCCAGCTATTCCCTTTGAGCCTGCTGTACTCCCAACTGAGAAGACCTCACCAGTGAGAAGGAAAAGACCCGTCCTGTCAGCATCTCCCTGAGCTCGGCTTCTGCTGGACTTGGTCCATGGGTAGGCGACCCAGAATGCCCCTGGGATGGAACAATGTCTCTCTGAGCAAAAGCCACAGCTATCCTGAGAAGCTTTATGTACCCATGAAGGTTTGGGGCCAGGGCTCACTTCTACTAATGATGATAATAATAGCCGTATTTGACTGAGTCTAAGAAGCCATCGATTATAAGATGCACCCCAATTTCAGAGATACTGAAATGTGAAAAAAATGTTCATCTTAGAACTAAATATATGATAAATGGACAACTTTTTTAGAGCAATTACTGTGGGCCAAACATGGTGCTAAAAGCATTACATACATTATCTTATATCATTCTCAAAACAGATCTGTAAGTTTTACTGTTATCTCCATCTTACAGATCAAGAAATCAAGGCACTGAGAGGCTGTTTCATTTACTCATGTTTACACAGTAAGGGTGGAGCTAAAATCTGAACTCAAAACTAACTCCAGGGCTTCCCTGGTGGCACAGTGGTTGAGAGTCCGCCTGCCGATGCAGGGGACAGCGGTTCGTGCCCCGGTCCGGGAAGATCCCACATGCCGCGGGGCGGCTGGGCCCGTGAGCCATGGCCGCTGAGCCTGCGCGTCCAGAGCCTGTGCTCCGCAACGGGAGAGGCCACAACAGTGAGAGGCCCGCGTACCGCAAAAGAAAAACAAAATCAAAAATAAAAACTAACTCCAAAACCTTATGCATCTATTACTACTCCATGGAGCCATGCCAGAGCTGCTGAGGGACAGGGACCCCACCCAGCCTCCACCAGGGACTTATGCTCCACAAGAACAACCTTTCTAGCCCCTAGAACCTAATCTGAAGCATTTTAAGGGCTAGCTTTTGGACTCCAGCCAGCACCACTGGGCTGAGAGAAGCCTTCCTCAGACAGGGGTGGCTGCTGGGGCCGTGCTTCAGCTCCCAATCCTGAGCACTGCTGTCCTGTTTTGAGGACTCCTCTTCCCGAGAGCTGTCCACAGGCTCCGGAGAATGGGGGTTCCCTACATACTTCTCCTGCTTAATAACCCTCATTGGCTTTGTACTCTCTCAGGATGAAGTCCAAATTCCTTGGTACAGCTTACAGAGTCCTCTACAGCCTGGCCCTGACAGCTTTTCCAGCTTCACTGAGAGGAACAACCCCACCCTGAGAGGTCTGAGGAGGCTGTGGACTTGAGGCCTCAGGCCAGCTCCAGGACGTCCTGCCTTAGTGGAAGCTGCTTGGTGCTGTGAGGGTGAGCAGGGGCCAAGGCTAGGAACTCTGTTTGGCCTTGCTGTGACAATGTTTCTGCAGCACCACACACCTAGGACAACCCTGATGGTGGGAAGAACAAATGATCTGGAGCCAGAAAGACCTAGATCCAAGGCCTAGCTCCTCTGCTTCTAGCTGTGAAATGTGGGATGGACTGCTTAACTTCTGTAAGTCTCAGTTTCCTCATCTGAAAACAGGGATAGTAATCCGTCTCCCCAAGGGTTGTGGGGAGGTTGTGAGGCTTGAATGAGAGTGAGATGTTGCTTTAGAAACAATCAGCACGGTGCCAGGCACAGAGCAGGCACTTAGAAAATGCCAGCCCCCAGAGGGGGATGTAGGGCAGGTAAAGAAGCTGGACTGGGCTCTGCCTCTACCACAGAACTGTCAGGTCTCGAGGTTCCCCCAGCTCTGCTACCCCCTCATCTGGGTTCCCTAGAGTCTGCTGCCACATCCCCGGGCAACTCTCCACTTCCAAGCAGGAGACAGGGCAAGGAGGTGGGGGAGGCACGTACTGCCACAGAGGTCGCCGAAGATGTAGTAGCACTGCTCAGAGAAGGTGATCTTGTTGACAGTGTGGCGGATGAAGCCGGCCTTCAGCAGGTTGCTGGCGTATTTGCGGGCCTCTCGCCGGTCAGTGAAGCCTTCCACGTTGTGGTACAGCCAGTCCACCACATCCGAGCCTGAGGGCAAGGCTGCCACTTGACTGGGAGGCCCACCTGACCTGGGCTCTTCTGGCCTCAAAGAAGCCATGAGGCTAGTGCTGATTCCAGCTCAAAGGAGTGGCCCAAGGGAGTTCTTGGCCCCCCCCCCCCACCCCCGGCCTGCCCTGCCCCACTGCTCTCCACCCTGTCCTTTATCCCACCATGGGGCCCTCTCACCGATGAAAGCATTGGGGATGGTAATCTTGAGCCACATCCTGTCACGGACCTCCAGCCCAGATTCAGGGGAGGCCATGGCTTTTACGATGGCGGCCATGTCACTGTGGATGGACAGGTGGAAGTCGTCTAGGCCTGGGGGTAGGAGGCAGAATGGTGAGGCAGAAAGGGGCTATGGAGCTAGGTACACAGAAGTTTGCATTCCAGCTCTACCACCTAATAGCGTGGACCAATGTCGAGCAAATTACCGATTTGTTGGACACTCAGTTTCCTCTTCCATAAAAATAGGGACTTTAGTATCTATTTCACAGGATATTTAAAGAGATAATTAAATAGTGTAAATGAAGGGGCTTAGCCCAGTGTATAATGCGTGCTATGATAATAAAAAGGCAGTCATTTACTGAGTGCTTACTTTATGCCACACTGTGACTGATGCTTTACTTGTATCCTCTCATTAAACCCCCAGGAACCTGGTAAAGTGCATATCATTAGTCCCATTTTACGAGAGGAAACTGAGGCTTACTGAGTGCTCAGTACAGGTTCAGAAGCAAACTCTGTTTGGTGAGGGTCAGCATCCACTGAGGAAAACTGCAGAGTAAGGCAGCTGGAATGAACCGAGTCTCCTCCTCTCCAGCCCCCTCTGACGCTCAAGCAAGAAGCTCCAGGTGGGCCTTCAGCAGTCCCTCCCAGCTGGCCCTGTCTGCTGGGCCCAGGGGTCAGGGTGGGACACTCACGCTCTGTGTCAGGGATGGAACTGGTGATGGAGGAGCTGGTGGAGGTGATGGTGCTCAGGGAGGGGCTCATGCCGTAGGCAGGGAAGGTGCCGGTCATGGCTGCAGTGTGGGAGACCCAGGCCGCGGGGTCAATGGGCCGGATGGGCTCGCCTGTGGGGAGGATGAGGTGTCAGGGGCTGCCTGCCCTGCCTACTGCCTGGCCCAACAGGGTAGGTATGAGGGTTCAGGGTAACACAGAAGGAAGGAGAGATAGGGCTCACATAGGTCAAGCACCAGCTTTAGGGCCAAATGCCCCATCCACTTACTCCTGGGCAGTGTGAAGCACCCACGTGGACTTGGGTCCCAGCACTTGGCTACAGTCAAGGTGATGGGCCTGAAAGCAAGGGTGTCCCTAGTAAGGGCAGGATGTGCGGAGGCCAAACCAAGCCCCTCGCCTGATAGCCAGAAATACCTGCCCCCTCCTCCCCAATGCCATCCATACCCTGGTTTGTGCACGATCTCCCGCAGTACCCGGACCGCGTCGTCATTACTCATGTTCTCAAAGTTGATCTCGTTTACCTGGGAAAGAGGACCAGGAGTGGGATAAGCAGCTGTGCTGGGGAGGTGGGTGGGGAAGCTGAGTTTGGTGGGCCAGGGGGTCTTCCCCTTACCAAGAAGCAGGGTACAGATGGCATGGACATCTCCCCATCCCTATCCATACCACCACCCACGGTGGGCAATGGTACCTGTAACAGCATATCTCCTGGCTCGATGCGTCCATCAGCAGCCACGGCCCCCCCCTTCATGATAGAGCCAATGTAGATGCCTCCGTCACCACGCTCGTTGCTTTGGCCCACAATGGAGATACCCAAGAAGTTATACTTTTCTACAGGGAGTAACAAGACCTTGAGAGAGGAACCAAGCTCCTACCCAAATTCCAAGCCCCATAATAGAAAAGGGTAGAAAGGCACAAGAACTAACACTTATTGGACCTGAGTCAGGCACTGTATTCCACATGCTCAAACATGCTTTCACTTGATCCTTGTTGGCTATGAGGTAGGGACTCAGTCCTGTTTTACAGAGCAGACAACTGAGGTTCAGAGAATTTAAGTGACTTTTCTAAGCCATGAAGTGGCAGAGTCAGGATTCAAACTCAGATTTAAATTCCAAAGTTGCGGCTCTTTTCCCTACATCCAGCTATCTCCTAAAGAAGAGCACCTAGGGTAGAAATCAGAGAGCAAGAATGCAGTGCCTGAAAAATGGGAAGGCGGGAGGAATCAGAAATCACTTCCTCTAGGAAGTCTTCCCGGATGCCATTCTCTGCGTCCATAGTTCTCTGTGCTTATCTCTGTCATAGCCCTGATCATGAGATACTGAAGTGATCAGTGTATGTACCAATTTATGCTTATGAAAGAGAACTTCTTGAGGGCAGGGAACGTAGCCTGTGCCTCTCTGAACTCCTCGAGTCTGCCCAGCGTCTGGCACGTAGCAGGTGCTCACGAGAGTTGTTTCACCAGACTCACCCATGTTGAGAGTGACCGTGATGATGTTGAGTGACATGGTGGAGTCCGTGATGCTGCTGAAGGACGAGGACTGGAACAGACAGAGGCCCTGAGCAGCAGGCAGTGCTGGCAGGAACTCACTGCTCCCACCTGGCTCCGCCTCAAGGTGAGCCCTCAGCACCACCTCCCCTCTCAGGTTCTAAACCCTGACCCAAGGGGAGGGGTCTAAGGAAGCACAGACTCTGGCCCTGCCTGGGCAGGAGGGCTCGGTCTGCTCCCACCCACCCTAACATCTCAGCTCCATACCCTCTCAATCCGCGAAACCTTCTGCTTCCGCCGCCGCCGCTTGTGTCTTCTCATGAGGCGTGAGGCGCTGCTCTGCTCTGTGGAGCTACTGAACCTGTGGGGCCCACAGTCATTCCCCACCGAGCTGGCCCAGCCCTGCCCCATAAGAGGCACCGCAGGGCCCAGGTCCCCCCCACCAAGCCCAGGTCCCGCCCAGAGGCCCAGCATCCTCAGGGTTCAGGGCTCCTCCGGGGTCACCTGTCCCACAGTACCCATGAAACCAAAGCCCCACCTGCTGGTGGAGTCATCCTCATCTGAATCAAAGAAGCTGGTGGTTTCCAACTCGCTGCTCATAAGGGTGGATGAGCTGTCATAGCCCCCTGGCTCTCGCCGCCGCTCCCCCTTTGCAGTTCCATTTAGCCGGGTTGCTGCAGGAGATGGAGGCAGCTGGGTTCACAGATGCAGGAGAGAAGGAGGAGCGAGGAAGGAGCAGGGGCTGCACTGGGGCCAGGCATACCCAGAACTCAGGAAGTAGGGCAGAGAGGTGGGTAGCTGACTGGAAGCTGCGGGGGGGGGGGGGGGGGGGTGGGGAAGGTGTCTGTGCAGGGAAGACGCACTGTGCTCTGGGCCATCCCTCCGTCGTGGCCGCTCTCGCTGGGCAGACACCAAGGAGTCAGTCTCTGTGTCATTGTCCAGGTTCTCCTGGCTGCCCCCACCAGCATGAGGGCTGCAGGGAAGAGAGGACTTGGTGGGGGAGGGGGCCGGCTGGGGGCTCCCTCCCCCAGCCCTGAGCTGAGCTGACGCAGCCCTCCCCCATGGGCCCTCCCCCCCCTCAGGTCACACTCACTGGAAGGATGGGGGCCGGGAGTCCCCAATGCCTCCTGTGCGCTCCATGGGCGGTGGCAGTTCCGATGGGTTGTCAGCACAGAAGGGAGCTGGCTCTGGGTGTGAGCCCTCAGCCGACACCAGCTGATGGGGAGAAAATGCATGGATAGTAGGGCGCAGGGGCCCCAGGGAAAAGGGGATAGTTGGCTTCTGGCAGGGCACGAGCCTTGGGGAGAATGAAGCAGGGGACATGCAGGGAGAAGAAACAGGACTGTGTTAGGTCAGCTGAGATGAGTAATGGACTCACTGCTGGGTTGATGAGGAGGCTGGGAGGCATGGGTTGGTGAAGTGGGATGGGGGCAGAGAACAAGAGTCAGAGGTCCAAGGTAGAGGTCAGCAAGTGACAGAAGGGAACCTGAGGCAAAGTACCTCAGAGGACATAGGAGACGTTTTCGTCTCCAACGTGTATTTCTGTCTCTCTCTTTTCCCCCTTCTCGCCACTCCCTCACTTTTCACCAAAGCTATAGAATCTGGGGTGAAGGTCAGTTCAGTTAGAAAACTCAAGGAATATTCAGATACTGAAGCATAAAACCACAGTCTCAGCAATGCCTTTCCTCCATTCAGCCCACTGCAGGAATGCTGGT